GAGTGTAAGTGTAGTGCCCCAGGTCCAATTTTTGAAGAGGATTGCACTTCTAGGATTCACTGTCTAGGAGAACAGAGCATATACATACAAATATCTCTCCAGAATACTCTCTTGGACTCAAATTGATTCTATAGACCAGGAATTTGTCCTCATACTTACTAGCCTGAAATCTTAAATTTAGGGAAAACCCTGCTGCAATTGTAGAGTAAATAAAGTGTTCTGGACATCAAGCACGGAATTCTTTGGCGTTTGCATATAGAATGCTAAACTGTATCCTATTTTTAAAATTTAAACTCATTAGAAAGGAAAAAAATAAAAGCAAAACAAACCTATACAAAGTGGAAAAGCAGACAAAAGACTAGACACTCACTGCAATAAGGCTTTCGTTTTTCTGGTTGGATCTTCCGGTCTGAAGTTTTTGTATACCTCTACTTCATGTTCTATAGAAAGCAGCTGGCTCTGGAGTTTGCTTCTGAAGGCTGGCAGAGTATCCCGAATATGATTGGTAAGTTGCTAAAAAGCAAATAAAAATCCTTTTATACTGTTAATAAAGATGAAAGCATGAGCACAACCATTTCCTTCTGACTGCCAAGCACACCAGCTATGACCTGTACTAGTTAACCAGCATAGTTCCTTTTGATCTTTGACACAATGGAGACTGTTAAAGAACAATACAATATGCCTTTTGCATACTCATCATAAGAAGGCTTTAAAAATTCCTTCATTGTCTCACTTGCCAAGCCCTCCTACTACACACCTGTTTAGTTAGAGACAAGAAATTTATACGTGTTACATATTTAATTTGATACAGCCTCTCATCACTCAGCACTGATGCCACCACCCCCATTTTGCTGATTTTCCTGAAAGTGTTTTCTGCTTCCCTATATATTTGTTCAGCAAAATGACACAAGACAATGCAGGACAAGGAAGAGATTCTGAGCATCCACAGCCCACTGAGAACAGAGATGGAAGAAAGTGTAGACATATGAAGTAGCTACTTGGCACTCTCTCACCATTGGGAAAAATCACCTCCATGTGATTTCTGCTCCCTTCATACAGAATATACTAAAGGGAACAGATTTTGCCCTCATACTAATGATTATAGCACTATGGATGTCCTACCTGTGCCATAAATTTCTCATGCATCGTACCTACTCCTTAATTAAAACCACAGTCAACTTCTCGCACTGTGCTGCAAACCTTCTTCCCAACCCCAGTCAGACAACTTATAAATTAGGAATGTCATATACCAAGATATGTAAAATCAAAATAAAAGTTGTTCAGTGGAGCAGCAGGCACAAAATCCAAAGCTGGAGTTTCCCTGGAGCACCACCTTGTGGATGCAGAGAAACTGAAATATTACCTGAAACCACAACACTAACAAGTGTTTAATATCTTGAGGTCAAAACTTAAATAGATCTTCCCATATATAATATTCTACATGCAGTGACAGCAACAGAAGACCAACAGTTCATACTGATATAGGTACATTTGCGAGACAGCTCATAAAAAAGCTAATAGTACATAAAGTAATGCAAGTCAGGACAGATAAGACAGTCCAAAGGTATATGCGGCTCACACTTCAGTTTCAAAACTTAGACAAGTGGATTAAACTTGCAAGATATAAAAAGAGGGAAAGAATCCTAAACACAGACAAAATTGCAGGATATAAGCAAGTTCTTGCATCCTACTGAATACTTTTGTTCTGAGGCACCAATAAATGGCATTATCATCCTTTTTGAGCAAGTTCAGAGCATCCTATAACCTGGCTGTCAAGTTACAGATGCAAAGTCCCAGTAGGAAGAAATTAAGCAGGCCAGCCACTTAGTTTCCTACCTTAAACAATATCTTTTCTGCTGTTTCCAGCTGCTGTCCAAAATGGACAAAGCCAGGCTTATCTGGTCTTTGTTTATTCCAGATCAAAGGATGCAATTTGAAATGGAACTGCAAAAAAACACTATGAAGTTTGACTTGTAGGAATGCCAAGAACACTAGTCAGCTGATAAGTTGTTTGAAAAGTAAAATCACAGAATCACCAGTAATTTTAAAGAGACAAGCATGACTTTATCTTGTTCTCTTCAGACTTGCTGAGAGGCACCACCATTAAGGTCACATGCTATTCAAGCTAAGGGATGGCGCTATGAAAAGAGTAATACCCAGAGACAAAACAATAAAGAGAATTTTATACTCTTCCAAGTCTGCTGTAGGCAGTGTCTCCATTAGGACAGGAATCTATGTGTCTCTCCACCAGGTAACTGAGAAGTAGACCTCTATTTCCTGCCAAAGGAAGCTGTGTTCTAACACAGTTTGGCATGGACTCAGATATAAACCATAGGTTTGGGCAAGAATAAAGGTAGTGTGAACAAAGCGTTCAAGTTACTGTATTTGTCATTAATATCATTTGTATATAGTACACTGTTTCTATTAAAATAAAGTGTAGATTTTGAGGTTAAAGTACAGACATACAGTGAACCCTCAGAATACATGATTTCTAAAAATGTCCCCCCCTCCCAATTTCTAAATATAAATTTTAAAAATCCCGTTAAACTGGAAGGAGTGTGGTAATTAAGGACTAGGATAATATACTTCCAGGAAGGGAGACAAGTCTTATTTGTTATGTTCATACTCAGTATTCAAGAGAACAAGGGAGTACAGAACTGTCAGGAAAAGTCAGAAACTAGATCTCACAGTAAGTTTTTAGATGCTACATGTAATCTACAGCTTTGTTTATCACATTGCAGAAATTATGAAAGTTAAAAGCAAGAAAGAATAAGTGAGGTTCACTGGCCAACACTCATTTTAATAAAGATTCTGTATTGGTCCTATCATTATAAAAGCTGCCTTTCACCACAAAGACTACAAGTTTTACCTGGTTTAGAACTTTCTGGAGATATGGTGTTCCCATCCGATCTGCCATGTGCCTGTATGCGGGGTGGGAAAGAAAGAATTTCCTCTCTGCCAGAATAGCTGCCTTTATGTCCTTCTTCCCATCAATGTCTTTCTGGCTTCTGTTAACAACACCAATATAACCTAAAACAACACACACACAGTGGATAAGTCAATGCAACTACTGCATTCATATTAAATAGAACAAGACTGGCTCAGACAAAACTTGCCAATTTAGGCATTTCAGCTACTGTTTGCAAGCACTGTAATCACCTTAACAGTGTGTAAATTGTTCATCCTGTTTACGTATAACAAATACACTTCCTTTTCAATCACCAATTCTAATACAGAAATATCTGAAACTTAGAGTACCCCAAAGGAAAAAAAAAAAAAACCACCTTCAAAAGTAAACAATGTTAAGAGGGAGGTTACCTCCCTCCATGGCAGGGAGGTTGGATTAGATAATCTCTAGGGTCCCTTCCAACCCAAGACATTCTATGATTCTATGAAACAAACACACATCCTACCCCAAACAACAAAATCTAAACACATTCACAGCTCTACATAAATAAATGATACAATATTAACAAAACACAGGAAAAAAAATTCTTCTCATATGCTGAACCAATATGCTCCATGGGAGGAGATGGTGGTCTCAAACTGTAACTAGAATCACAATTCTTGATATTGTTAACAGTATGAGCAACTCTGGCAGTAGCTGCCACAAGAATCACATAGAAAATTTCTGGAAGGGGTCAAAATTTGGTTTACAGCAAGATTATAAAAGCTCTGGTGCTTGCTTCTGTCATATTCAAAGGGGAAAAAGAAATTCTTCTGCTACAAGTGACAGCAACCTAGCACAGAAGAGAAAATTGGCTAACAACTTCTGCTGACATTTCTTGCTTCCTCTGGAACATGCAGTGTATTTTCCAGGTCCAGAAAAAAAAAACGCATATTTTACTTGAAGTATATTTTTAGCATAGGTGCCTTTTATGTTTGCTAAATAGATAACAGTAAAAGCTAGGAACTCATCATGTCCATCATAACCTTTGATTCATCTGTATTCAGACCACCTCTGGATTGCAAAGAATATAGACAACTGAACACTCTCACCTCTACGAAGAGGGAGTAGTTTGTTTTCTAGAACTTCTCTTGCATCTGTTCCTTCATCCATCAGATCCAATTTTGTGATCACACCGATGGTCCTAAGGCCTGATCAAGGTGGAGGTAGGAGGAAAAAGACAGTAAAGAATCATTTATGTTCAGGAAGAACAAGTTATATCCTACAATTATTATATAACAGATATGTGATGTTCTCAAAGCTTGTATTACACACTACCAGCTACAACTGCAAGTTACAGTACATCTGGAAAAGAAGCGATCATCATTGCCAGTACTAAAATGTTTTCCTCAAATCTCTTTAACAAGGCTCAGCATTCCTGTGATATGACTGTGTAAAATTTATGATATAAGTATCCAAAAACCCCATCATCACCAATTTGCTAGGTACTACATAAATTTGTAGATAGACATTGTCCTGCTTGCCTATAAGAGACAGTGGAAATTTTAAAAACACATTAACAGCATCATTACCCCAAATGATATTGAGCTAATAAAGTTACTGTGATGTTGAAGCCTATATGAGAATGTATATATATATATCTATCTCATAAATTATATTTCACACAAGTGTTGGTCTATTACTTCCAGTTAGGTTATTACACTTGAGAACAAAAAGTGGTTACATGTAATCACGCTTACCCTGCGGGTCCACTTCCTTAGCTAACTTCAGTGCATCTGAGTTGGCCAGATCAGTGTTAGCTGGAGTCACAGCCAGTATCAGGCAGTTTTCTCGAGCAATGAACTGCATTATCATGTCTCTGATCTGTTGCTCAATATCTGGAGGCTGATCCCCTACTGGCACTTTAGTGATTCCCGGCAAATCAATAAGAGTCAGGCTTAATACTACATGGAAAACACAGGATCATAAAGACGGTCAGCACGCCAGACATGTCTAAAGAGCTCTCCACAGACCTCTGCAGACAAATATTAGTCACATAAAACCCCATATAGCTACTTTTATAGGTATACAAATATTGTCAATGGATCAACCTAGATGTCTGACAATCTGAGAGGTACACTTGTTTTCCTGACTTTCATCAATGGATTTCAGTACTACTTAATATTTTAAACATTAAGTGGCATAGGAGAATTATATTTATACTGAATATCCCTGAAGGCTCTTAGACAAATGAATATACCTTTCTGAGCTTCTTTCACCAACATTTCAGAGTATGTTGTTGGTTTGGAGTTTTTAGAGGAAGCTTGTTCTTTTGTTGTTTGTGGGGTTTTTTTGTTTGTTTGTGTGGTTCCCCCCCCCATAACTTCTTAAGAAAAGTAAGGAACATGAAAAAGTTTATCCATTAAGAAAACCTGTCTTGCTCTGAGATGGCTTCCCCAGTACAGGCCACAGTGTCAACTAGAAGAAGCATCCAGTAGTTCAGCCAGTACTGGGGTAACAAGGTACCCTTTAGACAAATGGTAAAAACATGATTCCTACCAAGAAAGCACCAGAAGTATATTCAGGGTCTGGCTAATACAGACAACAGTTGCTGAACTGATCCAAACAAGACAAAGAGCATTAGGTAGGAATCTTTCACTTTCTCCTGGAGTCAGCATGTTCAACAACCAAGCTCTGAGGCAGGGCATTAAGTTCAGCTCCTCTCCAGCTGGCTATGCCACATCTGTATAATAGAAAACGGCTCAGGGGCATAGCCAAGGCTGCTCATGGTATAACAAAGTGGGGTTCAGCACTCTTTAATTAGCTCTCTTCATATTTTAATCTTTCTGTCACTTGATTCCCAATGGAGACATCAAATGAAGTGGCTAGAAAATAAAGTGCTTCAGCAAGACATAGCACTTTTCTCCTGCATCCAAGACAGACTCAATGTAAAACATTTTCTCTAGATTGCCATCATTAAATTGGGCAGATGGCAACCAGAGGAACTAACTTTGATTTATACTGGGGCTTTACAACAGAAAGCAGCTTCAAATGCCATTATTGTCTAAATATATTTTTAGCTACAGTGAACAATAAACATCCAATAGGGCAGGGAGACACGACGACTTTCTAGATCACTGATCAGGGAATTCATCTGGAGGGTGGCAAAAAATTTTGCCCTAAGACTCCCATGTCCTATTACTTGTCTTAACTAGTGAGCTACTATCTAGTGGTATATGTACTGGAAGAGAGATTAGTTTCATCCTGATGCACAGTGAGAATATTTTTAAATCATGGGCATATTAAATGGGACAGAGACACTGCGTTCTGCCCAGCTCTGGCAGCAACAGCTCTCCATTGTATCGTGGTTTCATAACCCAGGAGAAGTTGAAGATTATTCCAGATATATATCCACTTTTGGTTCAACTCAGTCTCAGAAGTTTTTTTCATTGCAGAGGATTTCTGATCAAGCGCACATACAGAAGAGCTACATGACACAACTAGACAGACAGAGCTACCTATGTTATATGACAAATACAAAGTAGAATGATTTTACCTACCATGTGGAGAATATATTCTTAAATTAATAGGAATTGAAGAAATGCCTTTGTTCATTCCTGTTATTCTATCTGTTTCTACTTCAATTTCCTGACGAACTTCATCAAAATCAGTAAATTTCCTCCCTTTGCAATGTAGAAATTCAGCATACTCTGAAAAATATCAATAGCAATTCTGTATTTCACAGGCTTATATACTTGGACACTAACTTTCAAGCCCCTAGTAATCTTCAGCTGTGCATGCACAAAAGGATGTCATTGTGAATATCAGGGAAGCGTCATATATGAGCATACACTATAGATATGATTGCAAAGATAAAAACCAGCCTACAACAAGAAAGAGTTAGTTAAAAAGCCAAGTTGACTGGATATGATTTACTGCTTTTATCTTTAGCATGTCATCTTCTGGAACAACCTAGAAGATTCAAGTAGATACTGTTTACATTAATAAAATAAGGAACAGATTGCCAATCAGATTCCATGTTTTCATCTGATAACATTTGCCTGTAATACATCACTAAATTGAAGAAAAGTAATTCAAAGTCCTGTATCATAAAAGATTATTAACATTTTTTTTCCTCAAAAATGGCCCATGTAACACATAATTTTAACGAAGAAGTTCTGTACATTTTTACAAGTTCATAATGAAAATTAGATCGCTTAAAAACACTGTAATGTTTTAACACAACTCCTCATTTCCTGTAAACTTCTTGTAGTCTAAAAATCCAAACCATGCTTAAGTAAAAGCTTTTACAGATATAGCTGTGATTTTCCTGAAGTGGGAGAACACAATTGATTCTTAAATCTTCAATATCACACAACTTGCCCTATTGCCTTAAAAGGTCATCAACCAGGAATCAAGGATAGATACACTCTAATTTGTTAGACTTGAACTCGACACTAGGTCCCTGTTTCGACTCTTGAATCCAAATAACAGTGCTAATTATTGTAGCCTTCTGGATTTCCTGCCCTAGAGGTGCATAACCAAAAGTACATCTCAGGATTTTAAAACCGGGGTTCTTACTTGAAAACAAAATACTAAAGTTTATATCACATCGCAAGGCTGGAATCAGAAATTCTGACATAAATGGTAATCACAGATACAAGCTCATATTCTGCCCCCACAGGATCTAAGCAGAAGGACTGCAGAAAGGCTGAAAAGTTGGGTATGCTCCAGTTCATTTCATCCTGCAGTCAAGGCCTGATCTTAAAGTTCCATTTACATGTTTGTTCCCCAGAAAATGCTTCTTGGTAAAAAGCCCTCATACACCAGGGCAAAGAGCTTGCTACTCCAAGAAAGAGCTGCAGCTCATGATACCTGACCTAAGAATACAGATTTATAGAGGGCCTTACATATCAATTTCCCATAAGTCACTTTATTGCTATTATTAACAGGGCATTAAAAAAAAAAGTCAAACCCACATATGAAACCATAATAGATAAAGCAAACTGAGAGCCAAAAAGAGGAGAGATAGGAAGGGAAAATAACAAATACTAACCCTGCTATGCAACATCATCATAATCCCTCCAGATTAAAACTGTGAGGGACAGGGAAACCTGGCCTTGTAAAGACAAAAATAATACTTCTCTTATTTTAAAAATAAGAGAAATTTTTATTTTAAAAGTAAGAGAACACCTAAGAAAAACCTCTGTCTTACTTTTGACAACTTAAGAATTCCGGAATATCTTATATTCCTCTTTAGCTCTAGCGCCAAAATGAAAACAAATGGACATTTTGTATGTTTCATTATCATTGCTTTATTAAAAGAACCAGATAATATTAAAATATTTCAAAGTAAAAGATAGCATAATCACAAGGTATCCCAGTTGAGTTAGCATATTTGAGAATTCACATTTGTAAAGTCTGTCATCTCAAGGTTGGAAAATATCTACCAACTGAAAAAGAACTCACAAGTGGTTCTTATTTTGTCCCAGTTCTTCATGCACTGCTCCTAGAATGAAATGTATTCTTCTTCATTACTTTTTTTTTTTTCCTCCAGTGGTTCATTCATCAGATTTTCTCAGAAAAGTATTTCAAAATTCCATAATCAATACTTGGTGCCTAGTTGTAATTGGTTGACTGATTCAGCTGATAGTCAGGAAAGCTTTTCACTCTTTTCCGCTTCACACTCCATAATAGAAGCAGTCCCTGTCTGAAACGGCTTCAAGGTAATTCAAATGAAAATGTTTGCTACTTTTTCACTGTGTTAGTATTTATCAACAGCTCCTTCCTCCTGGTGACATCTGTGGTTCCACTGCTTCTGAAGGAATAGACTTTATAATGGTTCATAACCTGTGGTGCCACACACAGCCTATGGAATAAAAATCCAAACAAGCGGCGCTTTATTTTGCTCCTTTCAGCCCTTAGCCTGTCCTCAGCAATCATCAAATTCTGACTCAGACAAAACTGGAAACAAAGACATAAAACCAATGAAGCAATTTAATATTTTCTCCTTGAATATCACCTATAATCTTCTCAAAAATAATAATGCAAGCCATGCTATGGGTTACCCAATAATTACATATCATCAGTAGGCTATAGGCTTTTTTTATTAGTTAATGGTATCTCCAGATAGAATTAATTGTAGATATTTTTCTCTATTACTAAAATCAAATCCCTGTCATGTAAGAGCATTGGCCCAAAGTGAAAACAATCACAGGAAAACTCTTCACAGAGAAAATCAGAAAGTCTCCACTTCCTTGCTCTTCTGAAATACTCTTCTAGCCCAAAGGAGCTCATTTGAAATAGTACAGATAGAATTTTATCTAGGCAAGTAATAAGATCTCCACAGAAAAGAGGTTTCCTCATTTCTGTGTAGCTAGCCACAACTCATAGCTAAATGAAGGGGGAAAAAAAAGAAAAAAGTTATTTTGGCTGGAGCAAATTGGATAGCTGCTACCATAATAGACTAACACCAAGACAAATCATGGATTCATCCCTCATTTTCCAACGCAGTAATTAAGCACAGCTGAATTCTAATATAAGTCACTTCTGACAAGAGCTTTAAAACTGTGTGGGATCTAACACTGATCTAGTTGGCATTTTGCGGCTGCTGCTATTTCACAAAGACACTGAGGGTTTTTTTTTTATTTTCCTCCCTCTTTAGGAAAAGAAAAGCTCCAAAAAGCAGTAGTCATGTGATTACAGGAATTTCAGAGTGAAAAATTATACAACATCCTGCTCTTAGATTTTATTTATATTTTAAAACAAGAGAGCTACAAATACTTGAAAGTACAGCATTATGGGTCTATTAAATTCACATGAACCCCACAAGAATCAGCAATCTTTAAAACTTTTCATTTTCTTGTGTTGCCTTTCACACAGGGGTTAAAGAACTGCAGGCATATATTTAGGATCTTTGAGGATTTTACCACATGGAAAATATAAGAACATGTGAAGGCAATTCTATACACCTCAGTTTATAAGGGTTTGGGTTAACACTGCAATAAATAGTAGTGAATTTAGGAGAATAAAATAAAAGCAAACTTTTAATCACTGGGCAAGTCTACATGTGTTCAGTTCAAAAAAGTTACCCTTCATATTATTTATATTTATTTAATGTGTGTATATATCTCTTTATATATACGCATATATTTAAAATACTGAACATGACCTGGAGGTATGTCCCTTTCATTCTGTAAATAACTGCATCCACCTTATATGTTCTAGACTATGTTTCCTGAAATTGTTTATTGTATAAAAAAAAACAAAAGCAAGATGATTTAAAAACCCTTACTGTACCCAAGATAAGATACCCACCATGCTTTTATTTACAAACCTGCTACCTTGTAATTAAAAAAAAAAAAAAACTAGACTGATAGGATAGGGTTTTACCCTTGATGAATTTGTGTTGGTTGCTATTAATCTCAAGTATGTTTCAGATTGTTAGTTAATAACTAATTACAGATTTCTTTTTCCTAAATGTGAACTTTGACTTTTTTCTGTCACTATTATCTTTTTGAAGATGGGTAAATACAGAACCATTTTCCAGCCTCTCAGTTAGGGGATTCCATCTTTCCTGATGTCACTGAGCAACAACATAGGGTGAAGGAAACAAAATCTTCCAGGCATAAAACCAAGTGTGATTCATTTGTCCCCATGCAACCTGAAGCCCATACCACATTTGAGGGTGCTGATGGGAGAGTCCATGGCTGAGCCCTCAAACCAATGCTGCCAGACCTGAGCAGTCACTGCTGACCAGGTCAGGCTACTCCAGGCACTGCTACCAGATACACAGAGACAGCAGCAAAGATTTGCACTCTCTGCAACCTTACTCTAACAGCTTAAAGTTTCAGCCTGGCAGTGCTACCCCTCTTCCAGCATCTCAGTCCTATTTGGGCAATGAGTCTTTCAGTGTCTCAGGAAGGGGTAACCAGTCACTAGCACCTTTTCCCCATGGTGATAGCACTTTTTAGCTTTTTTGGTATGCACCTCGCACATATTTACTGGTCCCTACAGCATCCTTGTTTGTCTTCTGAATGAGTAGCAGCCAGGGAGTGGGATCCAGAAAGCAGCAGCCACTGTCTTCCTTTTCTCCCTGCAAAGTGCCCTGTCTCTCCTCAATTACTTCAACTTTGGCACCTTTCTAGTTTTGCTCCTTGAAGACCTTCAAATGCCATCCTGTTGAGGAAGTATCTAAGATCATTTGTGTGTTAGCTGAAATAACCAATCTAAATTTTTTTTATAATTATTTCATTTTCTGTTAGAAGATTGTTTTTGCCACCAGGTGGCAACAAGAGATGGGTAAGCTTAAGCAGGAGTCTCACAAGATACACTAAAACTCAGCAACATCAATAGCATCTGCAAGACTTTAGAAAAAATCAGAATGTCTTTTGAACCTTCTGGTGACTTGCTTTCCACACAGTGTTCTAATTAACAGAATTAAAACAACTGTGGGTATTGTACATATGACTCGTTCATCTAAAACTGTCTACCTCAATAATAATTTTCAAAATCTGTAAGTCTGTCACATCTTTTCCTCCCAGCAAAGAGACTGAAGCATGACCATAAAGCAAATCTGAATTTCCTCCAAAAATAGTTATCAAAATGAGGAAAATAAGCCTCCTAGAGCCAAGGTATTTTAATGTGTAAAAAAATAACAGGATTTATATAGCAGATTATGTATTTTTAACAGAAAACCTATGAGAAAGGC